AAACTAAGTTTCATTTCGGTGAATGAGACAATTCACTGTGTTTGAAATGAGACTATGAGCTAGTTGGTGACTGTGAAGATATTAAAAGCTCAGCATTCAACGAAAGAGTGATAACTATGGTTAACTTAAGCTCACGCAATGGAGGTACTGGGACATTGAGAATGACAAAGTGTGTTTCTAATTTGTGTTACTATATGAGTGTGTAAAATTTAATTGAATAGAACCAGTGACTCATATCTACCTATTATCTCCCCAATCCTACTCAGTTCACATATAAAAGAGACTTATAGCTGTGCTAGAAAACAGATCAAAGTTCCATCAATAGGCCTGAAACTTCACTGAGCTCAGTGACCTGTAACAGCCACTCTGTAGCAGCCTCCTGTAACTCCAGCTCCAGAGGATCCTATTCCCTCTTCTGGCCTCTGTGGGTACTCACATACTTGTGGCCCGCCTGTGCGAGAACCCACACTCACGCACACAGGGTGGCCAGGGGAGTGGGAGGATAAATAATTATTACAGCACTGAAATCAATACAGAAAAATAAATTCAACTAATTTAAAAAAGTCAATGAACATATTTTAATGTATACTTAACAGGATGAAGAGAGAGGAAGATAAGAGAACCATTATGTCACATGCACACAAAGAAAACAATATAAATACATATTACTAAGTGAAAGACGATCTGAAAAGGTTGTATACTGTATAATTACAATTCTGGCTCTTGGAAAAAGCAAACGACTAAGGCAGTGACTGCTAGAGATTATGTGAGAGGAGCAAATGGTGGAAATTCTCACGTGAGACACCGGCAGTGGCAGAGTGTGGGAGAGGAAGAGAGACTACATTAGTAACTTCCACAAAGCTTTCCTGTACCTAACACAAAGTCATGGGCCAGTCAGATGGTTCCAAAAGCAAAGGTGTTTGCTCCCAAGCCTGGCGGCCTGAGCCTGAATCCCAAAACCCACAGAGCGGAAAAAGAGAATGGTCTTCTCTCCCAAGGCTGACTTCTGCCATCCAAGAGTACACTGTGGCCCAACCATGCCTGCGCACATACACACAGTGAATAAGTGAGTCAATATTAATTAAAAAGCCAACCCATAGATTTCAGTTTATGAGAGTAAACAGTTTTGAGATCCACTCATGAAAAGAACCTCTGAGCTAACAGGGAACAAACAAGGAACTACTTAGCTTACAAAGGGAATTTTTAAAGCTGGGTTATGGAGATGGTTCCATGGGTAAAGTGCTTGCTATACAAGTGTGAGGACCTGAGTTCAAATCCCCAGCACCCATGTAAAACACCAGCTCCTGTTAACATATGCCTGTAATCTTAGAGCTGAGGAGGTGGAGACAGGATGGCCAGGATCATGCTGATCAGCCAATCGGGCTGAGTCAGTGAACTCAAGGTTCATCAAGAGACCCTCCCTCAAAAAATAAGGTAGACAGTGACTGAAGGAGACAGATGACATTGATTTCTGGCCTCCATACAGAGGTACACATGCATACACACATGCACACATATGCACGCATACACACACACATACATACATGTATACACATACACACACATGCACACATACATATGCACACACACATGCACACATACACATGCACACACATATGCGCATACACACACATGCACACATATGCACACACACGCACACACACGCACACACACGCACACACAGTAAATAAAAATCCTGGTACTGGACAGGCAAAAGGCAAAGGCAGGTAGATCTTTTATGAGTTCCAAGCCAATCTGGTTTACACAGTGAGTCTAGGTCAGCCAAAGCTACACTGTGAGGCTGTTTCAAAGAATAAAAAAAAAAAACACAACAAGAAAACAACACACAAGCACCCTTCATAATATTAAACACAAGAAACTTCTAAGCAAATAGAACAAAATATGTGCACACTCCCTGTGCTGTAAACTACAAGTGAAAGAAGAAATCATGCAACCAAGAAAAAGGAATCCAAATTTAACTCCAGTTGATGGGGACTTAAACCTCACTCTCTTAAAGCGATATTTTCCAACTTATTTCTCTTGAGCTCTAAAAATGTCTTGTGATGCTGTGTAAATATTTTATTCACATTTTATGGAGTAAGTTGGAGCTACTGAGATCATATGGAAATTAAATAATAAGAAAAGGCTAAGAATCAGTTATGCCTCTGGGGAAATGAGAATTAATGTTCATGCAAAATCCATATGTGAATGTTTGTGGCAGCTCAATTCATAAGCACCAAAAGTTGGAAGCAACTCAAATGTCCTTCAGTGAGTAAACGTACAAGCTATGGCACATCCTTGACATGGAATATTAGTCATCAATAATAAGAAACAAACTACTGATACCTCATTGAATCTTAAAGGCATCATTGTGCTGAATGGAAGGAGCCATTCTCGAAGACTTCCAGATGGTATATGACTCTCTGGATAACAGTCTCAAGAAGACAAGACTATAATTGACATAATAATCAGTTACCAAGGTTACGAACTGAGAGAATAACTACCAAGGGTCAGCTCGTGGGAGATACTGAAGGCAGTAACTGTGTCCTGTATCCTGACGGTGATGAAGTTAGATGAATCCCCGACTCATCAAAATATGAAATGTATGCCACTTTCATAGCATTTGAATTTGAAAAGAAAGTCTGTGCTGTGTGTGAGTCCTCTCTGTGTGTTACACACATCTGAGTGTGCAAGCGTACATCCTGTGCACATACAGATGGAGGCCAGAGCTGGATGGCAGGGGTTTCCAAACTCCAGACTCTCTGCCTTAGTACCTTGAGACACCGTCTCTGGGTTGGAGACTTGCCTTCTGACTAGGCCGGCTGACCCCTCCGAGATGCCTGTCTGTTCCCACAGAGAACAAAGGGTGTAGGGTACATAAGCCATCCCTGGCTTCATACATGGGTGCTGGGGATTCAAACTCAGAACTTCCTGTTTGCTGAAACCCAGACATTTCTCAGTCCTTAAAAACAATTAAAAATAAACTCAATTTACTAATGGTAAAGTGAACAATAAAGAAAAACTGAATATCTGTATGCACCAATTAGCTGACTAAATCGAAGGGAGTGGACATCCCAAGTGCTGGTGTGGATGTGAAACAGCTGAACCTTCCAGCACTGCTGGTGGGGATACAAAATGGATCTCAAACTGTTTCCCTTCTTTTCTCCTCTCTCTCTCTCTCTCTCTCTCTCTCTCTCTCTCTCTCTCTCTTTCTCTCAGGGGTTTGTATTTGTTGTTGTTTTGTTTTTTCCTTTGATACAGTATTTCTCTGTGTAGTCCTACCTATCCTGGAACTTGCTCTGTAGACTAGGCTGGCCTCAGATGCAGAGATCCCCCTGTCTCTACATCCCGAGTGTTGGGAGTAAAGGTATATGGGCCACCAGGGCCGCTCTGTCTGTTTCTCACAAAGTGAAATGTACATCATCTACAGGTTGGTCCAGACGTTCTCCTTGTAAACATTTTAAGATGAGAAATGAAAGCATTGTATCTACAAGAGCCTTGTCTCCATGGATGTTAGTCATTTATCCATGACAGTCTTAAAATACTGGCAATAACTCAAAGATCTATGAACAGGTGAACAGATAAGAAAACCATATACATTACATCCGACACAATTAGAACATTAGCGACAAGGTTAAAATTTTGATATACACACAAAGATGAATTTCAAAACAATTATCCTAAATGAAGGACCCAGAAAGAAATCTAAAGGCATATATATTTTCACTTATAAAATTTGTTGAAAATACAGGACAATTCATAGTGTCAGAAATCAGATCAGTGGTTGTCTGGGTACAGGAAGTGGAGGCAGCATATTTAAATGCTTAGGGGGTAAAAAAAATTCAAGGTAGTAAGTTTTAGAAAAGGGCTAAGTGGGTGCTTGACAGCTCTGTCAGAGGTTAAGAGCACCTGCTACTCTTGCAGAAGACCCAGGTTCAAATCCCAGCACCCATATGGTGGCTAAACAACCATCATTAACTCCAGTTCCAACATCTATGGCACCAGATACACAATTAGTGTGCATACCACATACATGCAGGCAATACACATGCAATTAATAAATCGATTTTAAAGCTAAGTAAAACAATTTCATATTGACATTTAACATGGTTAATATTGTGAGAAATGAATGAAATACAGTGTTGGACCAGTCTTCAACCGTCCCAGTAGCGACAGACACTACTATTATCTCTTTGATGTAAGACCTCTGAGACAAAGTAAGAAAAACTGACTTGTGCCTTAGCTGCCTCAGTCATCGCTTACGCTCTGACCCAACTTCTTTCTCTGCGACTTTTTATACTGGAGCAATAGAGAAAAATAAAAGACATTGTATGGCCTGCTGTGAAAAGAAGGAAGAGGAGGAGGAGAAGGAGGAGGAGAAGGAGGAGGAGGAGGAGGAGGAGGAGGAGGAAGAGGAAGAGGAGGAAGAGGAGGAAAGGAACCCCAGCCCTGACTGTTCTTGAATTCACTCTAGAGCAGGCTGACCTCGAACTCAGAGATCCATCCGCCTCTGCCTCCTGAGTGCTGGGATTAAATGTGTGATCCAACACCGCCTAGCTATGACAGAACACCTCTTAACTAAACCGTGCGAGTTCTTGAAAACAACTTTAGACATACGTTTCTGAAATCGACCTGGACAAGGTCTTGGGACTCAAGACTCTTTGGAAGGGAAACGGGAACTGTTAGTTAGAAAGGATCAGTGTATCTGGAAACTTCTAGATTGACAAGGACGGCGACAGATAGGGAGAGCGCCCCAGACAGTGCGCCACTGGGAAAGGTAAACTCTGCGGACAACCGGGATCTGAAGACCAAGTCTTGGCACTGGCGCAAAGCCTTTCCCGATGCTCCCCAGACCCTCTGGCAGATCTTGAAGGACTGGGTCCAGACTTCGTTGCCCAAGGCAACCACCAAGCCCAGGATATCCAAGGCCCGGCCCCAAAGTACCGCGGCCGTCACCCGCCCGGGATGAGCAGCGACCGGTAGCCGCTCCTCGCTCTCACCTCTCCAGTTCTTGTACTCGGCGACGTAGTAGTATTTGTTCCCCAGATGGTCCGTACCCACGTGCTCCCTCACTTCCTTGGACAAGGCGCTCCAAACTGAGCGCAACACACCACGCCACCAGCTCATGCCTGCGCGCAGCTCAAGGTCCCAGGACTCTCCCTTACGACCGGAGGACACGCCCACGCGAAGCCCCGCCCACTGACCGGCGTTCTCGAACCCCCCCAGTAACGCCGCTCTCCTTTGGTCACGTCACATCGCTGATTGGCCAATGGGAGCCCGTGTTGTTGCATCCGGTTCCAAGCTCTGTCATGGCGGCACTCAGGCCTCAAGCCGGTGTGTGGAACCAAGATGTTGAGCTTTTTGTCCGCTCGACAGTCGGGTTTGGAGGACCCTCTTCGCTTGCGTAGAGCGCAGTCCACACGGAGGTAAGGCACGCCATGTCTTTTCCTCTTCCGGTGCCAAGTGAGAGTCTGGAGCAGGGAGTTAGGGTGGCAGGACCGATTGGGCTGAAGATGAAGTCGGCAGGAGCCAGATGAGGAAGATCCGCGTGTGCGTGTATGGGCAGAGTTTGAAGAAGAAACCCAAATCACAACGACTGTAGCTTGCCGAGCACGAGAAGAATGAAGTCGAAAGTAACCAGGGAGTCAAGTTAGATAACTGTCACTCCGGGAGAGACCTGATGGCAGTGTTGTGAACATTCTCACGGCCAGCTAACCCCGCTGCGTTCCGCTTGACTTTCACTTCTAACGTTACTGCTAACGCCGTTATTTTTGTAAAATTTCTTGTGGGTTTATCTTTAAGGCACAGAATTGACAAAACTACTTGCTTTGAATGTGTTTGTAAACTGAGTAACAGGTGTACAGTCACCGATCATACAGATTTTGAAAGAAGGCGTGTAAATACGTCACCTACTACGTGCTGTTTATATAGTGATTTGTAGATGGAATATCAACTTTTGGGCTTTCAGCTTTATGGTATTTCTCAGTAACTGAAATTTGAACAATGTTGACGGGGGAGGGGGGAGCATGAGACAATCGAAGTTAGCTGCTGTGGACAATCTGAAGCAGTCCCATATCCTACATCTGAGATTAAAACAAAAATATATTCATGTAAATATAACTGTTTTTTTTTTGTTGTTGTTTTGTTTTAAGAAATCAAGATTCTCACTAGAGGGAAATACTGTCACCCAAATCATTTTTTTTTTCTTTATAGACACACTGACAGTTTACTCTGGTTGCTTTAAAGCTGTCTTTAGTTGTCAGCAATTTGGCTGTGATATATCTAGATATGGATTTCTCCAGGTTAACTCTACACAGCAATTGCTTTACCTCTCAGTTTGTAGATTTATATCAAGTTGTCAGTCATTTTTTCCTCTCCAGTGCTTCGCCTGTCCTGTGTTCCTTCTCTCCTCCTGGATCAGTTACATTAACCCAAGTCTTCCCCACTGTGTTGTTAGCTTGTGTAATTTCAATTATTCTATCTTCGTGTCCACTAATAGCTGCCTTGGTCTTTTGAGTCCATTAAGTTAAATGAGTGTGGACGGTTTTTAATCTCTTACCCATCAGTTTTCTGTGTCTGCTGTGAAGTCCTCGTCACATGACTCCACAGCTATGTGGGTCAGCTTTGGCTCCTCATGAGTTCCTTTCTTTTGGAAGTCGAAATTTCTGGGATTCATCATATGCAGGATAATTTTGAATTACATCCTTAATATTTTGACCACTGTTACTAGGCTCAGGATCTGTCTCTACTCTGTAAAGAGTGTGACGGGGTAAGTGCTGGGATAAAGGTGTGTGCTACCTCCGCCCTGGCCTTGAACGGTTTTAAGGAGTGTTCTTTCTGATTTCCATCTCTGCTGTGATTTTCCAACATATGGAACCCATCTTTGTCCTCCAACCAGCAATTCTGGCCTCTTGTTACTGCTGTACCTCACATTTCCATGATTGGGCCCAAAGCAAAGTTCAGAAGAAGAAATGCAGATTTAAAAAAATAATCAAGACACTAATGAAAAGAAATTAGTTTGCTTCCATTAAACTGCGGCATTGAATATAGTTTGTATTTCTACTGTCTTAAACAGCTGAGGGAATCTTTAAATTGTGTAATTCAAACTTTTATCCACTAGGTGTCATAAGTCAGGCTTATTGGAATATCCATAGATAACCTTTTTAAGGACTTAAAAACTTTAAATCGGCAGTTTTCAACCCGTGGGTCTCTATACTTTCACAGGGGTTGCATATATCCTGTATATCAGATATTTCTATTACTATTTGTAACAGAAGCAAAATTACAGTTATGGAGCAGCAGTAAAAATAATTTTATGCTTTGAGGTCACTACAACACGAGTAACTGTGGTAAAGGACCGCAGTATTAGGAAGATTTAAATGAAGTTTACAGTAGGGTTTCAAGTGAAATGTTTGCATATGGTTGGTAACTTGTTTAGAGGTTTACATTTACAAATCTGAATACCTTTAAATGTAGTAAAAATACTAAAGACTTGCAGTATTTATGGTAATCTATGTAATTTTGGGGAAATAAGGAATTTATTTGTATTATACTTTTTCTTATCATTGTTGTATCTTTTTCTTTTTTTAATTTCTGAAGGGTCCTGGGACTGGAGTTAAACAAAGACAGGGATGTTGAAAGAATCCATGGCAGTGGAGTTAACACTCTTGACATTGAGCCTGTTGAAGGAAGATAGTAAGTTACAGCTTCACGTTTCTCTCTACATGAGGTGTAGTAAAGTCTTGCCTGTTCAGATTGATTAGTAAAAAGTTCTTAAAAATATTTTTAAAAATTATAAATTATAGCATTTGTTGAACAAACATTTATTCATTTGAAATAGAAACAGAAAATCAAATACGGAAAATGTTTTCAAATCAATATTCCAAATGTGGCATAAATATATTCGTGTTAAATCAATAAACCAGGAATTTATGTTGATGCAGAAGGCTTTTAAGTGCTGGGATGTGTTTAGGTGCTCTTCTAAAATATAGTTATTACTTTCAAGGACTAACGGGAAGTAAAACAAAGGTAGAAATGTGTTTGGCAAGCTAGGTTTAAAGATGTTTCACTGAGTTTCTTACTCATCAGATCTGTGGCCTTGTGCAATTTACCTGACCTTTCAAATTGTCAATTTGTCTTAGCTATTCTATGGGAATGATCATGCTTATTTGTCAAGTTCTTATTTCTTAAGAACTTGAGAAAAATCTGTATTGAAAACATGCTTGTTCCATCTCATTGCCTACACTGTAGCTGAATGCATTCCCCTGCTCACAACTTCCTGTCACATTTCACCATGAATCGGCACTCCACGATCCTCATGCGGGAAGGTTTCAGGGTGGAGGGTGCAGCTCTGTGGCAAAAGTATGATTTGCATGCTCAAGATCTGGGTTCAGTCTAGAACATAATGGGAGGAGAAGATGGGGCTGTTAATGAAGGTGGGCTCAGAGCCCTCCATGTGAGCTCAGGGTATAGTTCACTAATAGACCCTCACCTAGCAGGTGCGAGGCCCTGGATTCAAGCCTCAGCACTACAAGGAAATAAAACAAAGTCAGGCCTTAGGTGGTTTATAATTAGCTGATGTATTAAAATCACCGATGGGAAGTAGTTTCTGGTGTTGTGATCTAGTTAGCAGTTGCCCTAGTTGATGTTTACATTAAAATAAGCCAGGTGGGTGCGGCAGACTTGCGCTCTCTTACTTTCCCCTTCTGCCATGATAGTCTACAAGAAACACGGGCCAAAACAGTTCTCAATTTAACACATGGCTACATTTAAAAGATGGCATACAATAATTCTTTTCTTTTCCCTAGCTTTCCAAGGCTTAACATACCACTTCCTGTTCAAAGGCAGGTGAGGGGCACTCATTGATAAATAAAATACATGCAGATCCAAGGAACAGAGGATAGCTGATTTTTTTTTTTTTTTTTTTTTTTTTTGTAATTGGGGCCGTTTGAAAAGTATAGTAGTGTACCAGCCAAGCATTGGTATAGTGATTGTGTACCCTGTGAGGGACAGTAACCAGTTAACAGAGTCAGGAAGAGCTGGTGGATTTCAGTTTATGTATGTGTGAAATATGTTTGAAGAGTATTGGATGAAGACATTTTTATGGTGTGTCTAATTAAAATCTGAGCCACTTAGCACAGTAGCTTTCCCTTTAATACATGGTAAAAGCTACTGCTGTGCATTTCTTTTCTCTAAAACATACTTTATGTAATCACATTTAGTAGCAAGAAGACATAAAGGTGAAAATACATGTCAATTTGAAAACCAAGTATTTTCTTTCCCTTAAGAAATCAGTTCAGAATTATATTAGTATTTGTCATCCACCATGAACACTATAGCGGAAGCACTAAAAGCCATAGTCAAAACCAGGACACAGAGATCTGGTAGACCAGACTCAGTTCCAAGATAGGTGTTATTTCAAGAAGACTATCCATAAACTGCATTTTTTTAACAGGTTCAATTACATAGGATACCCTTATGAAGATAAAAATTTATGTCTTCTGAGTTCTTTTAATTTATTCATCTTTTATAAGTTTTATTTTCTATATAAAAATAATACCCTACCCCTTTAATATGGTCATGATTAGCAGAATAGTAACCTCATAGTTAAATATTATTAGTGTCAGGTACCAAATAGAAATTCGTTTAATTTCAATAATGATTAAATTTTCATGCAGTAAATAAACTCAAAAGAAAATTTTTCACAATTATTTTAATAAAAAACATTTTACATTTTTGTGAACACCAATTAAATTCAATTAAAAAAACAACTTTTTTTTTTACATTGTTTTACATTGATAATACATTGACAGTACTGGCAGAGAAACAGAAACCCAGCAGGTCTGAGCATGTAGTTCCGTTGGTAAAGTGGTGACGAACACCTGTCATCTCAGCTCTCAGGAGATGAGAGCAAGAGGCTGACCCCTGGAAGGTCACCAGGTCAGGAAGTGTCTACACAAATCCCAAACTGTGAGTAAGGGGAGACAAACCTTGATGACTGCAAGATCTGTGTGCTGTTGGTGTATACTCGTGGAAGAAGGAGAGTGAGCAAAACTGATGGAGTCACTGATCTGGCTGATACCTCCAAATTGCTGTCTGATTTCAGCATGTCTGTCACACACCAGTGACAGATGACTTCACGGCCAGCCTGAGACTGCAAGGATCTCAGCCCAGCCCCTATAATGGCTCCTAGGAACTAATAGTCAAGCTCTGTGAAGAATGGAGCCCCACCCTGAAAAGTAGACTCCAGCTTAAGAAGTGTGGGACAGTTCACACAAAGGGGAAGGGAAGCCCAGTAACAGATCAGAAACAGAACAGATCAGGGCATCTCTTATTAAAAATTGGTATGGTTTAGGAGAAAATATAACTTAGAAGGAGTATTTTTTTGAAGATAAAAAGTTGAATTGTTATTCTAAATCCAGACTCCATTCTGAAAGAGTAGGGAAAACATACGAAAATAGGATATAAGATGTAAGAGCTAATAGACAGTGACCTCATGCCAGACAGGTCATCCGGGAAATGTACCAGTGCTAATCTCATAGTCCCAAACTAACAAAAGGTCTGCTTATCGTACACATGTACACAGACATCTGTTTGTGTGTGCATATGTGTGTATGTGCGCACATGTGTGAGCTCATGTCATCATGTGTGTGTGGCACACCTTTAACAGCTGACCTCTCTCTCCAGCCTTCCCTCTAAATAATTTTAAATGGTAAAGTCTATGGAAGATTAATGTAAATTTAAATTTAAGAATCTCAGAAATGAGGTTATTAAACCCAAGAAAAATATTAGAAATGAAAGAAATATTTTAGAAAGGAACCGAAGCATAAGGAACACAAACAAATCTGTACAGGGTGTAATTCCTTAGAAACTGAAGGCAAAAAGCAGCGAGAACTTAAAGATCAGAAAGAAAGGGAAGGTCAGGACTGTGGTGTGGTGCTTGCCTCTTGTGTGTGTGAGGCCACAGGTTCACTAACCCTCTGGAAGGAAAAGAAGACCAGGATGTGAAGGCAGTCAGGCAGAGGATGGCCTTATCTGGCATCAGTGGGAGGGGAGGCCCTTGGTCCCATGGAGGTTTGATGCCCCAGCATAGGGGGATGCTGGAGTGATGGGGCAGGAGTGGGTGGGTGGGTGGGGAGCAAAGGGGCAAAGGGGAGGGGGAAAGGAGGGTAGGATAGGGGATTTGTGGAGGGGTAACCAGGAAGGGCGATATCATTTGAGATGTAAACAAATGAAATGATTATTTTAGAAAATGAAACTATAATTCAGTAAGCCTTGTAACTGGAGTAACATCTACAACTGTGGTGTATAAGGGAATGGATCACACTGTCACTGGAATTTGACTTTGGAATTTTTGCCCAAAGGAAGAATTTCTTTTTTAATCTAAAACACTCTGAGAATTAATTAAGACTTTTACATCTGCTCATACTGATTTTCAAAGCCAGACGGGCAGACATTTGTCAGTATACAGTGATTCTTAGGGTACTATACTGATTAGCCCTTCTTTGGTATTCTACCGAGTTGAAATCTGATAGCCAGAATAACCAGAAAGACAGAAATATAAGTGTTGATGATAACCAAAAATTCTAGAAAATAGCAATACTATATGTAAATGTATAACTTTGTGGGTCCTAGGTATTGGTTTGGCCGCTGATAACATCACAGTAAAGAAATTATAAGCAAAGTTTATTATAAGTAAAGATTAGAAGTCTAAGGTTGCAGAGCAAATGACCTGGGTTTAGCCAAGGATAAATCACAAGAAACAACAGGTTGAGGGAACAAAGAATCACAAGAGTGAATTAAAGGTCTGTATCCATCTAAAATAATCCAAAGCAAAGCTCCTGTTTTCATGATATACTTTTGGGCGATGAATTGTGAAGTATTTAGAAAAGGAAGTCGTGATTACTATAAAAATTGCATTGGTGAGGAACTGAAGAAAAGGAAAGGGAGTTTTAGTGGGAAAGGTCCTAGTGTGTGGACTTCCCTGGAGACCCTGAAGATGAGATGCACATGTTTATTTGGCTAACTGTATTTTGTGTAATACTGGAGTAAAATTCAGAATGCCTAAAAATTTGCAGTTAAGTTGATCCCAAAGAGATTTTCATCTTGTAAAAAAATGTAAAAGGATGGTACTCCGAATGGGGGTAAGAACACAGAGGCCGTGACAATATTGAATGTGAGATAGAATGTATTCCAATCTGTGGGAAAATAAAACCCTCCCTTTTGTAGACTTTGTTCTGAGTTCACTTCATGCTTCACCACCTGTTGTTGTTTTTTCTAAACTGAAAATATGATGGCTGATGGGCAGGTCAGTTAAATGTTACAGCTTCAAATTCAAAGAGTATTTCAGGTAATGTTATAAAAACCCAAAATCATGATTGGAGAACAAACAAACAGCCTGCAACAAACTAGGAACAGTCCTGGACAGACTCAGGGGTCCTGTGTAATGTATGTGACAGGCTAAGACTATTCTACAAGCTAATTTTGTAAATGAGTTGAATTAATATGAAGAACTTTTTGTTGTCAAGTATATGATTACATATGACTATTGAGAAATCATTTTGCAAAGCTTTTGAGTTAAATCATTTCCAGGCTCTTGCAATGTAATGAGCTGGTTTGAAGGACAGGTTTGCCCCTTTAGTGCCCTTTGCTCCTAAGTCAGACTGAATGTACAAGCCCTAGGCTTCTCATCTCTCCCCTCTCCCTCCCCTGCTTCACAATATAGTCTTCCCTCAGTCACTAGAGTGGGACTCTTATGCACCTTGCTGGCTATGTTCTCTTCCTTTATCAGGTACCAGTTTAAATATTATAACCAAGGATGCTATCCTTGAAGCCTCAAGCTAAAATAAAAGTAGCATATTGCCATGGTGATCCCAGTTGCAACTTATTACACATTAAGGTCAAGCACAAGGTTTTTCCTGCTAGACTGTAACTTTCCGGGTGGTCAGGGAGCATGCCGTGTGTGCATAGCTCATTAGCAGAGTACCTTTTGCGTTGTTGGTTCTGGGCACAAATCAATGGAATGAATATGCTTACCTAAAGAAGAGCCAGCTTCCATTTGCTGTTGCATCAGCTTTATCATTTAGGGGCAGTGCCCTCCCTCACTTCGTTATTACTATTTTTACAGATGTCCAAGGGCTCATCAGTGATATAACTTTCCCTGGAACCCATAGTTACTGTCGGTAACGGACTAACTCTGTTTTCATTTAGCAGATTTAAGAAGACATTTAGAGTGGTACTGTAATCTTTTACTTTCTTAGCTGTCTTTTGCATCTTGTCCTACCATCTTTTTGCAGTCATGGATGTAAACCTGAGATGATCAAAGGTTGAGATTTTCTGTAGTTGTGCCTTTGTAAATGTTAAGAAATTCCAGTTTCCTGAAGTCTGTTAGAATGAACTGAACTTGCTGTCTTAATACTTCCGGCATATATAGGTCAGTGTGCAGTTATGAGGGCATCATCCATAGGTGGACTTCTCACAGTGGTTAATGTGACTTTTCTGTTGTCAGCATGTTGTCAGGTGGTTCCGATGGTGTGATTGTACTCTATGACCTTGAGAACGCCAGCAGACAGCCCTATTACACATGTAAAGCAGTGTGTTCCGTTGGCAGGTGTGTATTTGAAAGTGTAACTCATGAATATGTAAACAGTTCAGTATCCTTTGCATCAAATGGAAACAGTGAAAGTAGCAGTCATACGCATGGTGTAAACAAAATTCAGTTGACTTGGATATTCTTTGACGCTTTCCTTGAAAACTATCAAAATTCAATATATTTTTTGCCATGTGACTTCCTCCAAACAGTTTTTGTGTCAGCTTTCAAATGAATTTTTAAAGACTTTTGTGTCGTTTTGTTCTGTACTTACAGAGCATATCTCAGTAGCTGTGGTTCTAATACCACTTAGTATAAGGTTCATGTCTGAATCTTCCAGCTAATTATAAATGCAGACGAAGTTTTCAACTGATGTTAATAGGGAAAAGATTAAAAACAGGGTGTAATAAATATGCAAGCAGTCCTCTCACCATACGTGCACGTGCCTCTTTCTTATCTGTCTGCTCACTCAAAAAAGCTCAATTTAAGCCCAGGCAATGATGGCATGTTCAGTGCCTTTAAACCAGTACTTGGGAAGCAGAGGCAGGCAGATATCCAAGTTTAAGGACAGCTTGATCTACAAACTGAGTTCTAGGACAGCCAGGACTACATAGAGAAACCCTGTCTTGAAAAAAAATACATACATACATACATACATACATACATACATTGCTCAACCTTAAAATATACCTGTCTGTCCTGACTTCCCTGGCTATTTGGTAGGTTGTTTTTTTTTTTTTCCTGACAGTATTTAAAGGTCTTTTGCTACTGCCTGTGTCTGATCTGTTCCTGAGCAAACTTTGCCGTAGCCAGTGTGCTCTCATAGGGAGAAGCTCATAGAACTGTATGTTCCTAGAGGACTGCAAAGGACCCTAGGCTCTGAGTCATAAGTGTGTGTTTACACACTATTCATTTTAGAAACAGTTTTGAAAATCTCTCTTGAGACTGACTTATTTTTTTTAGAGGTAATTTTACTGGCTCCATCATTCTTAGCAGGCTTTTGTGATAATTAAATATTTTTAAAGCATGTTGAAAGCTGTAAAAACTACTCTGTAAATCAAAATATAGTTAAAGAAAAAGTTCAGGGTCAGTTAGATGACTCAGTAGATAAAGGCATTTTGTCACCAAGCCTGGTGACCTTAGTCCCTGAGACCTACATAATAGGAGAGATCTTACTTTCATAAGTTGTTTTGTGGACTTTACCTGCAGGCCATGTACACACACACACACACACACACACACACACACGCACACACACACGCACGCAATTAAAAATTAAGACTATTACCTACTCAAATACTCTAGGATAGCTGAGCACAGTGGCACACGCCCTTAGTCCCAGCACTTGGGAGGCAGAGGCAAGAGGAATTCTGTGAGTTTTAGGCCAGCCTGGTTAACCTAGTGAGTTCCAAGACAGCCAGGACTATGTAGAGAGGACCCTGTCTCCAAAACGAACAAACAAAAGGCCAAACAACAACAAAACCAAAGAAGCAAAACAAAATACTCTAGAACATCTTTTTGTAGAATATTATTTCATTGTCAATTTCCTACTTGTATGTCTACCTCCCACCCCCTCAGGACTCCCCTCAACATGTCGCCCTCCCAACGTTATGTTTTCTTTGTAACTCTTTGAGTCCAGATAGTGCCACAGGCATGCTCATAGATGCAAAGTCATCCATCAGTAGCTAGTCACTCCTCAGCTGGGAGTGGAGCATGAGTTCCTCCTCCAGCCCTGCTGCAGTGTGGACTGGCTTGATCCTGTGCAAGCCTTAGGCAGATAATCATGGCTGCTGTGACTTCATGCAATGGCCATGCTGTCCTGAAGATGACATTTGACAGAGCTCCTCTCTGTCCTCATCTCCTTTCTATCTGTCCCTCACAGCACTTGAGCACTCAGCAGTTCTTAAGCTCAGCATTTTGGCCTCTTCTGAGTCTTCGCTTGAGCTACTGCCCCTGCAGAAAGAAGCTTCTCTGAGCCTGAGGGCAGCCCAGCACAGGCTGTGGATAGAAGCAGGAACATTTAGAAGGCAACTGACACTATGTCCATTTAGCTGTCCAGAGCCTGTGAACTCCGTAGCCATGGGCTTTTGAAGAGCTTTACAGTAGTAGGCACAAAAGTGCCTTTTTGTGAAGCATACCTCAAATCCCAGCTTGCTACTGACTGCCACCTTGCCTGGCAGGCTGGTATTGTAGCATGCAGCTTCCATATCTGGGTAGTACCACTAATGAATTTTTCTCTTAGTGGCCTGCATAGCAGCTTTCCACACTGAAAGCTAGCTGGCTGGGAGGACGCTTGCAGGTCAGTTCCAGCTTGATTTCTCCGTGTCCTGCAAACAAGATATACTGTGTCTTCAGCAGTAGTGCCTTACCATCTAATTAGTGGTGGGCAGCCGAGATTAATAGCAGTAGCCTAGGGCCTCCCAGAGTTGCAACACAGTATGAGACCTGGTTTTTAAGAGGTTTGAGCCATTTACTCACTTTCAACCCTTATCAAAAAGAAAAACAAAGGAAATTAAATTCTAGAGTGCTGGCCTTAAACTCACAGAGGTCCTCCTGCCTCTCCTTCCTAGGTGCTGGGATAAAAGGTTTGTGTCACTACACCCAGGTTTAATTTAATAATTTTAAAATCTGATATCTGATATTAAAATTTATCATTAAGTTTATTAAATAATGAAATATATATGTATTTTATGTGTTTGACATATGTGTTTATATGAATAGATATATATACATATAATGTTACTCTGAAGAACTGTGATCTGGTAAGTTTTTTGTTATGTAATTAAGTAAATGTTTAATGTGTCTCAATTTTATTATATTATGACTTTTATTCCTAGGTTCAAAGAATAGAAGTATGACATTGCATTTCAAAATGGGTATATTTATAATGTCATTTTAAAAAATAATTATAATAAAATTCATTGTTATTGTGGCTTAGGCAACTTAGTAATATAGTTGTTAACTTTATGTTGTTAGACTTAATTTGTTTGTTCTTAAACATTAAGAAGATTTTACTATCAAAATTCTTACTAACTATACCTGAAAATAACACATGTAATAGAATGATACAATATTATATCCTGTTTCAAAATTTAAATTTAAAATATAAATGAGCTTTTGTTTGTATTTCTACAGTAAGGACTGGCTTTATTTAAAACAACTCATCAGAAAATCTATGTTGAAACCAAGACTCTGGAGCATTATCAGAGTTGACCTAACTAATTTCAAGTAGTAATTTATTGGAATGTGCTTGTAGCTCATGTAATTGTGGAGAAAATGAGAGAATCAAGTTTATCCAATGAGCAGAAAGAGAGAGAGAGAGAGAGAGAGAGAGAGAGAGAGAGAGA